ACTTTCTAATTTACCTATGCGTTGGGAAGAGACTGTTGTGAGACATGCCTCTATTTAGCAGATGATAAGTACTGCATTTCAAATTGCTTCATATATCTATGACCATGAGGCTTTATGAGTTAAGATGTTTGGAAATTAAGTTTTTCTATTTAGTATGACAATTAAGGACATTAGTAATACTTGTGATTTATTCAACATTTAGTTTTTTTATATTAGGGTTCCAGGAAATTTGTTTAGAAAATAAGGAGTTCAGCTCTTAAAATTGACTTAAAAATATACCTTTCATAATAACAATACAACAAACTATTCATATTATTCACACAAATAAAGTGAAATCTAACATACAATGATAAACATATAAAAAATATTTCTGATTTAGGTACTTTCAGTATGGTGTGTTACCTTTTGAAGAATTAAAATGGAACGTGCAATTTTACTTCTCACATAAAGGTATAAGGCCTAAGAGGCAATGAAAGCTGAGTATGAAAAATGCATAAAAACAAGTTAGGATCCATTTTTTTTTTCAATATTAAACTGAAGTTCCAGTTTTATTTATAAAGCAAGTAGATGGCTTGACCCCAAGAGCTCACAGTCATCAAAAGAAAACAATGTTCCATATTCATTTTACTGTTACTTCTCTCCATTCAAGGAACAGCAGCACCATGGAATAAGACATGAAATCTAAAATCATTCTCAGGCTCTTACAACTTTAATGAGTTCATGATGAGGGAAAGTTTTTTTTTTTTTAATTTTAACAAATTTATAGATGCATTAAAAAACTACTGAGCACACAGCCCATGAAATGTAAACAAATAATTAGTTATATTTAGTAAGCAACATTATTGTTTATTATGCACATTCAATTCAAAGAAAGTCCATTCTCCACTTCTTAGCATCAGAATTACACTCCAAATCAGAAATACTATGATATTTTTAGGGATTCATATATTACTGTGTCTTAAGACTACTTATAGATCCAGGTATCACTTAAATTCTCCAAAGTGAATCAAACATGAAGCCATTGAGTACAGAAATCCTTCAATGTCAGGTTTCTTCTAGTCCCATGCTTCCCACCAGCATGACCCCTAATAATGCTTCAGATCCTCCCCTCCACTTCCTCCTCTATACACACCTTGATTTCTAACAGATACCCTCTCTTTCGCAGAACTCACAGTTAAAAAAATTAACTAGAGCTTCCAGTTTTATTCAGGGGTAAATGACTTATCTCCTGTAACTTTCTCTTTACAAATTCTGGGATTCCCAACTACTGGAGAATATTTTTACCTCAGATATATAATTTTCTTTATCTTTCAATGGAATAAGATTTTGTTTTTACAAAAAGGCACAAAGTAGACTGTGGAATAATCAGTCAAAGAATGCACATAGGGCCGGCCCCGTGGCTTAGCGGTTAAGTGCGCGCGCTCTGCTGTTGGCGGCCCGGGTTCGGATCCCTGGCGAGCACCGACACACCGCTTCTCCGGTCATGCTGAGGCCGCGTCCCACATACAGCAACTAGAAGGATGTGCAACTACGACATACAACTATCTACTGGGGCTTTGGGGGAAAAATAAATAAATAAAATCTTTAAAAAAAAAAAAAAAAAAAGAATGCACATAGCTGCCTCCCCACCCAATAAAAAAGATAACTTACTGAATGCTAACTAAATAGGGAGTGCTTAGCACTGTGGGGTAGAGAAGATGTTGAAATTAAGGGTTCCAGTCCTCGGATTACAATCTGTCAGTGAGAAAAGCCAAATTACTATACAAGAAACAATGATCTCCATTTATGAAAACTATCCTCCTAGCAAAATACAAGTCCTCAATTACTTTTCACTTCCCCATCTCCCCACATCGAATCAGTCACCAAGTCCTGCAGCTTCTATTTTTCATACATTCATACATACATTTATTACTGCAACTACACAGGTCCAGAAGCTCATTATCACTTACTTGGACTTCTGCAAAATCCCTCTGATTTCCTGACACCACGCTTTCCTTCACATGGTTGTCAGAATGAGCTTTCTAAAATATACCAGTAAGACTTATATCCCAAATAAATGAAGAATGCTTATTGCTAATAATAAGACAAACAATTCCCCCCAAAATTAAGCGTGTGATTTGAACAACACTTTACCAAGGATGATAAGATGCTCAACATCATTAGCAAGGAAATGCAAATTAAAACCACAATGACACATTGCTACATACCTATTAGAACGGTGAGGGAAAAATGTAAAAACTGACAAAACCAAGTGTGGCTAAGAATACAGACAACTGGAACTCTTATATATTGCTGGTCAGAACACAAAATAGTAACATCACTTTGGAAAACAGTTTGGCAGTGTCTTATAAAATTAAACACACAGTCAACACATGGCCCATCGATGCCATTCCTAGATATTAATCCAAAAGAAATGAAAACGTGTTTCCACGAAAACGTGTATGTTAATGTCTATAGTGGCTTTATTTGTAACAGCCAAAAAAATGGAAAACAACCCAAATGTCCTTCAACTGGTGAATGGAGAAACTAACTGTGGTACATCCATACAATGGAATAATACTTAGCGATACAAAGGAGCGAACTGCCAATATACAAAACAACGCGGGTGAATCTCAAAATGTACTATGCCAAGCGAAAGAAACTACACTCAAAAAGCTATATAGCGTATGGTTGCATTTACATAAAATTCTGGAAAAGGCAAAATTATAGGGATAAGAAACAGATCTGGTGACTGCCAAGGACTAATGGTGTGGGAGGTGCTGACTAAAAAAGGGTATGAGGAAACTTCTTGGGGCAGTAGCAATGTCCTGTATCTTGACTGTGGTGGTGGTTACAAAACTGTGAGCATTTGTCAAAACTCACAGAACTATAGACTAAAATATGTACATTTTATTGTATACAAATTATGCCACAATAAAGTTGATTTAGAAAGGAAAAAAAAAAGAAGATCAATGTTTCCATCAGAACAAAGTTCTCTGAAAGAAAGAAACTCTTTCTGAAGAAACAAAAGCCCATAAGTGTTTTCCCTATAATTGATGTCTTTCTGAACCAAAAAATGATAAGAGTAATTCATAGGGAAATATGAATAAGGAAACTGATTGACTCAATCTCTGATTTCTCAGAGAATGTAGGCTTTCAGTCTAGAGACAATCTATACACTATGATTTGGGCAAGTGTAAAAATGAAATGAAGATTTTTGTGTAATGTAAAAATCACCAGAGGCAAACATAAAAGTCTGTTTTGATTTTAATTCTTATACTTAAGGATCCTGAAAGTTATCAGTAAGAAGGCAACTCTGTATACATACTAATCCTCTTTATTTGTACATTCATCACTTTAAAGGCTATTTCTCTAATGTTTGGTTGTGCTTTGTTCATTATTTGTATCACTGCATTCTAATCTGGCTGCCTGGAGTTAAATCACTACCCTGTGAAGTTGTATCCCAAGTTCATTATAATTTCTGCTTAAGACAGCAAAAGAAATTGACTTGGGTACCCTTCCATTTTTGTTTTCAGTGAAATATTATTATTTAACATATATTAAAAGGTAGTATCAGGAATCATATCTAAAATGGAATTCAACTTACAAAAAATTTAACATTAATTTACATCAACTTTTCAGGGCCCAACTTTTTTCATTTGTACATATTTTTCCATTTCTACATATAGTCACAAAATAATTCTTTAAATAATTATTTTAATTTAGAAAAGACCTGAAAGTTAAATTCTCATGTAATTTAATTAAATCACTCAAACTTTAAAATTAAACGCTCCGTCAGAAGTCAATAGCCAAAATTCTCCTTTAAATACCACACTCAGATAGTCTACCCAACTCAAATCCTCTTCAGATCTGCATTTTCCTATAAAATTGCAATAAGCAAAGCACACAGCCCTAATTAACAGAATCTTGGTGCCTAGAATCAGCTTTAGGGTAGAGAAGCATTAAGGAAAGAATTAGTCAGTGTTTGGTCTTATGGACTCGTATGGCTTGACGGAAAGCTATGCTAAAAATTTCCAAGGGACTGCTGTGGTCTAATAATTCAGTGCCCCTTGAAATTTATGCCATCTTATTTCTGTAGATTCATTAATGCTAAAATGATTCCAATAAACTGATAGGTTTTATTTGTAACTACAATTAAAACAGCAGAGCAATTTTTCAAAGTCACTACAATATTGCTGATGATGTTATTATATACGAATCGCTTGGTTGTGGGGTAATTCTTTTCCTCTTCACAGTGGTAGGTTGTGTTAATACAACCATTTTCTTTTATTGTTCACTAATGAGACAGTAATTGCCATCAGAATCCTACTGGGAATATAGACTTATAAAAATAATAGGCCTAAGGGCAGGTTTCACTGCATTTATAATGATTCTCAGATACATTTTGTTCTGCAGGAACACACCAGCACCAAAATGTTTTCTTTACTATGAAAGATAAACTGCATATTTTCAGAAATGCAAACAGGAGAAACAAACTTAACTACGCAAATTTCAGGTTCTTCTTTCTAGCAACTAAATGGAAGGGCAATTAACAGGATGCTCCCCTTCTTCAAAACCTGCTAACTTTTAATTAGAAACCCTAAAAAGGTGCTATTTCAAAGTTTTTAGTGTTTGACTTAGAAACATAACCACCAGCTTCAGTATGCGTTCCAATGTACTGTAATGTAACTGCACACTTCACTTCAAATATTGATTGTATACGAAGGAAATTTACAGGAAGATATTTTAACGTATTGTTGGCTGACACCACTACCTTCCGAGTTCATTTAGGGTATAAAGATTTCTAGAAATACATTTTAAATAATATTTTCTAGTGATGTATTTGAGTTGATGAACCACATTTGGCAATCATTGTCCTTTGAGACCTCAGGTGCTCTCCTGCTCCTAAGCATGGTAGATATTTACCATTCAAGCAGGGAAATTAACATAAACTTCAGTTTCCCATTTTTAGATTATAATCTCTACCAAAGCCCAAATGAAATGCAAAGGAAGAACAGTACCTTTCATGATGTCCCAAATCTGACAGAAATTCATCTACATGTCTTTGGAGTTCATTTCCTTCTAAATTCTTTAATTTCTTCAATTCACTTTGTAGGAAAAACCAGAGCTCTTTAGCTCCATTTTCAATCCTCCTCCTTAGGATTTCATGATCCTTCCCCAGACCTGCAGTCAGAGAACAGAGAATATCAGCATTTCCAACTTTGATGAAAGGAAATTTTCAACTATTTGTGCTAATATCAATATACTGAAGAGAAAAAACACTATATAATCACTTACCATCTCTAGTTTGTTTCTTATAATTTTCAATCTGCTCTTTGGCCTTCACAAGCTGTTCTTCTAAAGCACGAACCCTTCCTGAAGCCGGCCCCTGATCAATGGGGCCTTCTGGTATCCTGTAGTTCAGAGAAAAAAAATGTAAACATTTAGCTTATAAATTATGCAACAAAATATATGCTTACTTTGCTATAACATATTTATTGGTAACTCAAGAAGTCATGGAACCATATAATATATTAGAATTAACAAATGAAATTTTCTCTCCAAAGGTACAGGATAAACACTGGAATGATACTGAACAAAAGCAGAAAAAATAATCTAGCTCAGAAATAGGAATTAAGGAACCTTTAGAACTGTCTCCTAAAAGCTCTCATCATATTTAGAATAACACCATCAGTGGAAAAGTGGTCAGTTCTTCACTAATGTTGAGAATAACAAAGGTGAAGGAGAGGGTGACAAAAAGGCTTAAAGGGAACAAGAAAGCACATATCTGAACATTGTCTATGTTCAAATACCAAATACAAACTGTTTCTAAATTAATCATAATATCAGGCTATGTAAATCTGTGCTCCAATTCTTGAACTCATAACCTCAGATTACTTAGCATTGGTTTTATTGGGAAGGGAAAGATAAAAGTAGAAGATGAAGTATATCAGAAAAAAACTGAAGATTAATGCCCTGTTTGTTTCCATCAGAAATGTAAAGTTTCAGTCAATAATATAAAATGTTGTAAGACAGCAGAGGAACTCTGGGATCTCTTGCTTATATTATCAAGCTATCTGTACAACTTCTTTCCAAACTGTTCTTGTTTCTAACACGTTTTGTTTTTAAGTGATTTTTGGCAGTATTCTGAACTCCATTCTGGCCATAAAAGATATCTACATCATAATCCTGGAACCTGTAAATGCTATGTTATATGGCAAAAGAAACTTTAAATGTGTAATTAAGTTAAGGATCTTGAGATGGGGAGATAGTCTTGGATTATCCAGGTGGGCCATAATTGTAATCACAGCTGTGCAAAGAGGAGGTGGTGATGTGGCTATTAGCTTTGAAGATGGAGGAAGGGGTCATGAGCAACAAATGCAAGGAATGCATCTTTAGAAGCTGGAAAAGGCAAGGAAACAAATTCTCCCCTAGAGCTTCCCTAGAGAATGTGGCTCTACTGACACCTTGGCTTTGGCCTAGTGAAATTCATTTCAGACTTCTGCCCTCCCAAACAGTAAGAGAATAAATTTCAATTGTTTCAAGCCACGAAGTTTGTGATATCTGCTACAGCAGCAACAGGAAACTAATATATATACGGTCATGAGCCAAATAAGGACATTTCAGTCAATGACGGACCACATATACAACAGTAGTCCCATAAGATTAGTACCATATAGCCTAGGTGTGTAGTAGGCTATACCATCTGGGTTTGTGTAAGTACACTCCATGATGTTCGCACAACAAAATCACACAACATTTCTCAGGACATATCCCTTGTATACATATACATGTGCACATATACCTTTGCAAAATTATTATGAAGATTAAATAATGGCTGATTTTTCTTCCAAAATCCATTTAAATGAGAAAATATCTATAAAAGTTATAAAAGTCCTTAGCACAGTGTCTGGCAATAAACTTTATCAGGACTATTGTATCTGGGCTCAGTCATTTTAGAGACGAGCTGTAATCTCTAAATGTCTGGGATATCTATTCTTACCATCAAAATCATTTTAAGGGAACTTAACTTTTAAATTATACGAGGCAGAACTTAAATTCAGATGTTAACTTAGTCCTTTGATGCAAAGACTCTATCTAACATCGATTTTTTTATACTTCTAATATTTTTATACTTCTAATATTTTTATATAACAGATAAAGCTAAATTAACTATTAATTACCTATACCATTTCAGAACACACATTTAGTAAAGAAGCTCTTGTTACAGCCACATCCGAGTAAATAAGGTATTCTATAATTTCACATAAAATTGTATGCATTAACATTGAATAAGAGAATGAAAAAATAATCATTCTCCAATCATGAGGAGATGACTGAAGGCTACAGATTTTGAATTAAAAAGTCTTCATTTCTATACATACAAAGTAAATAATGATAAAATGAATAGAGTTGTTAGGTGCATAATTACCCAACTTATGAGCACAAATGAATATACATTCATAAACGAGACGTTTCCTGGTACATAGTTTTTAAAACTTGGCTCTTAATCTCTTTCTGAATTAGATGGTTGGTTTCTAGGAAATAACTTGAAAACAGAATAAAACTACCACCTCTTGGAATTTATTTTGACAGCAATATGCCATAGGACAAGGATGTCCTTTTCCAGAACACACTTTAGTGATACAAAATTTCAGACAATAGAAAGATATGTCTAGGTTCTCCTTTTTATTTCATTTCTTCATACATTGATGGAATAACATTATGGGAAAACAGGCATGAAAAAAATAGCATATCTTTTCAGCAGATTTCCATTAAGTACTAAATCCAATCTAATTCTAATAAAACATAAATGAATTAGTGACTTGTATTACATTATTATATACAGTAATCCAACTGTGGATAAACTGTAAATAAAGACAAGTAATAGAGAAGCCCACTGTAAAAAAAGTACACAATAAGTACTATTCTTTCTAAACCCCTCTCCAGAAAAGAGTCAATCTGCAAGAACAGTCTCTTTATCTGAATATTTACGGAATTGAACGTTTTTTTTAAATCACACTCTACGCAAAAGATATATAGGATGTCTACTGGCCAAGATGAAGTAACAGAGATCAGATTTACCATTATGCCTGAAACAACCAAAAATCCAGACAAAATGTATGAAACAATGGTTTGATAAAACTGGAATCAGGAGATTGACATCAGAAAGATGGCAAAATAGGGGTTTCCAACCTCGGTACCCCTCAGGGAAAGGGCAACTAGCAACTATCCATAGACAAGATACCTTTGTGAAGATCCCAGAACACGGGGGTGAGGCTGAAGCACCCCTTGGACCATAAAACCAGGGGAAAACAGCAAGAGAAGGGTAAGAGGAGCAGTTTCACTTTGACTGCACTGCTCCTTCCCAGGTCAGCCAGGGCTGCACTGAGGGGGACTCCCTGGGCCTACAGTTTTTCTAGTGGGAAAAGGAGAGTGCAAGGTGGACATCAAGCTTCCCCAGCATTCTGGATGCTTCCTGGGAGGCCCACTTAAGTACCGCCTCATGAAGATTACTGGGGAAATCAGCCAGAAATAGAAAAGCAGGGAGGGGCTCACAGCAACCAGTGCTCGGATCTTGGCAGACTACCTTCCTGTCAGTGGTAGGGCCTGAGCAGAGATCCTAACCAGCAACTCTGATCATTTGCAAAGCTGAGCCAGTGGCCCCAACTTGGCAGTGGTTGGCAGTTCTGCCTGGTTTGGGTCCCCAGCCTGAGGGTCCTCTTGGTGGAGGACCCCATTCTAGAGCCCCGCCTAGACAGCCCCACTTGAGCAGGAAACCTGGCCTGAGATACTGGGCAGCCATGCAGCATATTCTACGGTCCACTCAAGCAGGGAAGCAAATCACTGGCCACACCCAACTCCTGAGCATAGCCTCCAGCACCACCTAAGAGAGAAGCCCGGCCAAAGATGCCAGGCAGCTGTGCACAGCCATGCAGCATATCCTATGGCCTGCCTTGGCAGGAAAGCAAGTCAGTAGCCCAACCTAACTGCTAAGCATAGCCTCCAGCACCACTTGACCAGGAAGTCTGGCCAGGGACCCCAGGCAGCCACAGAAACCATTCTACAACTCTGTTCGGTCAGGGAGCTGAGTACCACCCTACCATTGGGCATAGCCTCTAGCCCTGTCTCACCAGATTGCCCAGCCAGAGACCCTGGCCAGCTCTGGCATCCATCTTACAGCCCCACTCAGGCAGAGAGCCAAGCCAGCAGCCTTGCCCAACTGTGGAACAGGGCCACTGGCTCTACCTGACCAAGGAGCCCAAACAGTGACCATGAGCAGACTCAAAGCCTGGCCTATGGTACTGCCCAGCAACAGAGGCCAGCCTACAGCCCCGTCTAGCAGCACGGCACAGCCTAGAGCCCCATCCAACTGCTGAGCACAGCCTGTAGACTCACCCAGGTAAAGCGCCCAGCCAGCCACTCCACCTAAGCACAAAGCATAGCCTGTGTCTCCACCAGTCCAGTGAGCCCAGAAAGCAACCCCACCCAACCATGGAGCACAGCCTCAGCCCCACTTAACTGTAGGGTACAGCTGGCAGCCCTGCCTGACCAGGAAGCCTGGCAAGAGACATTGTCCAACAGTGGAGCACAGCCAGTAGCCTGCTCAATTGCGGGGCCCAGTCTGTAGCCCTGCCCAACTTTGGGGCATGCCTGCAGTTGCAACTGATCAAGGAGCACAGCCTGAGGTCCCATCTGATCACAAAGCGCTGAGTATGGCCTCAACTGAATGTAGAGTCCAGCTAGCAACACCATCAAGCCAAGGGGCACAGGTTGGGGCCCCACTCTACCAGAGGCGATTGTGGAACCCAGCACGTAGGACTGCCCAATCAGAGTTCAACCAGCAGCACCACCCTGCCAGGGAACACAGCCTGCACCCCTGCCTGACCAGAGGTGATTCAGTCCAGTAAGTAGCCCTGCCTCAACACAGATCCCAGCCAGCAGTTCTGCTTGAATGACAAGCCCAACCATCAGGCCCACCTGACTGTGGAATGACAGCTCCCTCCTAACCCACCTCAGAGCACAGGCAGTGGCCTCATCCAACCAGAGACCCTGATATCAAGCACTGCTTACCCAACACTACTACCAGCTGCCTGTCCAGAACTCCAAGCTGAGCTGACTAATGAAGGTCTTTCCCTGCCAAAGCAAACCTGTAAAGGCTGGAAAAGAGACCGCTTCCTCAAATGAGTTGATACCAATATAACGATACAAAGATCCTGAAGAATCAGGTAAACAAGACATCACCAAAGGAAACTAATAAAGCTCCAATAACAATTCCTAAAGAAATGGAGATCTATTGATTGTCTAACAAAGAATTCAGAACAATCCTCTTAAAGAAATTCAGTGAACTACAAGAAAACACAAATAGACAACTAAGGGAAATTAGAAAAACAATGCATGAACAAAGAAATAA